TGCCTGGAGCATAACGCACCTTGAATGAAAGAAGGAAGGAAGAGAGAAGGCAAGAAGAAGCCAAATGAGTGGCAAAGGGTGATAAGAAAGACAGAATGTGAAGGGAGGATGAGGAAATAGGATTTCATGAAATCACCTACACTATTTCTCTTAGGCAAAATTCAGCAGCGCTGGGGGCTCTGTGCCCAGACAGAGTCAGGGCTCTTTGTTGTTGTTGTTCAGTCATTCTCAATTATGTCCGACTCTTCGTAACCCTATTTGGAGTTTTCTTAGCAGAGATACTGAAAGAATTTGCCATTTCCTTCTCTGGCCCATTTTACAGATGAGGAAACTGAGTTTAAGTGACTTGCACAGGGTCACACAGCTACTAAGTGTCTGAGGCCAGATTTGAACTCAGAAGGATGAGTTTTCCTGACTCCAGGCCTGGCACTCTATCCACTGTGCCACCTCGCTGCTCCTAGTTTTGGCATCAGTAAAGGGCAACTCAGTACCCCCACCCCAACAACAACCTCCAGGTATCCCACTCCACATTTTGGACAATTCTAATTGTTAAGAAGTTGGTTTGTTTGTTTTTTTTCTTTCTTTTGCTGATAACTGGATTTGAATCCTGGCTCTGACAGGATTAACCTTGCAACTACAAATTATTTAACTTCTAGACAGACAGTCAATAAACTTTTATTAAATGCCTACTATGTACCAGGCACTGTCCTAAGGTCTAGAGATACAAAGAAAGGCAAAAGACAATCCTTGAGCTCAAGGAAAGCACAATCTAACGGGGGAGACAACATGCAGACAATTATGTACTAACGAGCTATAGACAGGGTAAATTGAGGCTGATCAATACATCTTTAAGTCTCAACTTCCAATTCTGTAACTTACTTGTAGCTCATAGATCTATTGCTCGAAGCACTCTCTGAATATATCTAGTCCAATTCCCTCTTTTTACAGATGAGGAAAGCAAAACCCAGGCAAGATAAGTGACTTACTCAGTTTCACAGAAGTAGTAAGAGATAAAGGGGGGATTTGAACTCCGGACCTTTTATTCTAGTATCTGTGCTCTTTCCACTGCACTACAGACCTTCCAGGACTATTCCGAGGCAAGCACTTTCTAAACCTTAAAGTCTATATAGAGAGAGGTGCATGTATAAGATGATGTACATAAAGTGCTTTGAAAACCCTCCTCTAGAATTGTTAGTGATGATGATGATGACATCGACAACAACAAATGCAATTCTTAGGTCCCAGACCCTGGGTTAGAGCATAAGGTGAAAAAATTGAGAGAATGGGGCAGGGATAAGAGCAAGACTTCTAGGGTTCTGAGGGAAGTGGTGATGGCGACTACATCGTCCATGAGGGAAGAATCCTTACGATCTCCACAGAGAAGTAACTTCCTCATCCTTGGGACCAGAGAAGGGTGGATGCAGAGCCCAAGTGAAATATAAGCTTTGGAAACAGAGAGGATGGAGGGTCTGATAAGAGAAGGAAGTAGGGAAAACCCAAATCTATCTTGGGCCCCAAAGAGAGCTGGAAGAAAGGAAAGGAAGTTGGGGACCAGGAGCCCCTTTACCTTGTGTTGGCCAACTCAATCTTTGACTAACCATTAAATTGGGGAAGAGTCTGAGTAGGAAAGGAGAGAGGAGACGGCAAAAGGAAAGTTCCAGTCACTGGAAAGGAGTGAAAAGTATTGAATGAGGAGAGAACAGGAAAGAGGACCAGGAGGCATATGGATGCTGATGCCGCCACCTCCGTCCTTGCTGTTTCAGGGGAGGCATCAGGGGCTGATATGATGGGACACTGATATCGTCAGGAGAGAGATCATAAGACCAGTGGATTAACGTAGGATTGGAAATCTGTTCTCTAGAAAATATACTAACTTCTATGCCTCTCTCTGTGTGTTTTTTTTTCCTCCTTTGTTTTCTAATATGAAAGTTCTTTTGGAAAAATTCCATTGCCAGTTGAATCAAGTTAATAATGGATTTTTCCACCCTTGAGACATGCATAGAATGCTTTTTAATTTGTTCATTCATTCATTTATTTGGTGCTGCCCATAGGGGCTGGGTGTGGCAGTGTCAGTAAAACAGGCCAAGCTCCAGAGCCCTCAGAAGGAGGGGCACAGATAGACCCAGAGCTCAGGGAAGGCAGAGATACGGTCAGCTGGGGGTCCTGGCCCATCACCACCTCGGCCATCCCCTGGGAAGTGCCATTGCTGCCCCAGCTCTTTCCTTCCTCTTAAGTCCATGCTCACCAGGCTGTAGGGAGGTCTCCACTGTAGCATTGGGCTTTTTCTTACACACATAGGGCAGGGCAATACTGCAGTCCCGGTTCTGCCAGCCGCCAGATGACTCTGTCCGGATCACCCCACAGTTCTCCTCACTGGGGTTGTCTGGCTGATCTGTGAGAGAGAGAGAATGACACACAGAGACATAGAGGAGAGATGGAGGAAAGGAGGGGGAGAGGGAGGGAGAGAGGAAAAAGAAAGAAGAAGAAGGATGAAGAAGAAGAGAAAAGAAGAGATGAGAAGGAAGGAGAGGAGAGGGAGAGGGGAGGGAAGGGAGGAAAAGAGGGAGGAGGAAGAAGAAGGGGGGGAGGGAAATTCCCCCCCAGGAAGGGAAGAGCTCATACCTCGAGCTCTAAATCCATGAGAGCCTTCCCTTCTCACTCACCTCCCCGCCAACCCCGTCACCATCAAACTCCATATCTCTAAGTTAAGGAATAGAAGGGAGAGTGATAGTTCCTCCCAAACCAACTTAGGCCCACCTGCTCATGAGTTCTAGAGAATACAGCTACTAGATTCAGTGCCTTTTCAGGGCATCTTCTTGTTCCCTAAACCAACCCCACAGAATCTACACTGCTCCCCCTGCCAACTCCTCCTCCAGGCTGGTGACAGAAGGTTGCTAGACCTTGCCCCATGTTGGAGGTTGGGACTAAAGGCATTAGCAGGCCTAAGGATATAGTGGACCCCCATGTCAAGAAGCCTTGAATTTAAAAGACCTAAATTCAAGCCCTGTCTCTGACACTACCTGCATGACCTTAGACAAGTCACTTCTCATGGCCTCAGTTTCCTCTTCTTTAAAATGAGGGTTTTGGATTGGATGACCCCTAAGGCCCCATCCAGCTCCAGTTCCGTAATCCCATGACCTTAAGAGGCTACATAAATAAGTTGTTAAATTGTTGTCTTCTCAAAATTCATTTGGGATTAGGCTCGATGACCTCTCAGGTCCCTTCGTGTTCTAAATCTATGATCCCATCAATTAGACCACGGAGGAAAGACACACGGGTCAGGAAGGGTGAGCCACTGGGCTTCTTTTAGGAGATTAGAGAAGCCTTGATGGAACGGCCCGGAAACACGGCCGCCAGCAACCAAGGCCCAGATGTTAATTGTTAGAACAACAACAGGGGAAGAAATGGGTCAGTGTCTTAGTTGGCATTGTAGGGAGGACACTTGCTACGGCTCTTCACCAGTACTCCCCACCCCAGAACATCACAGGATAGCAGGTGAGTGAGAAGAGAAGGACCAGGCAGAGAGATGTCCGTAGGGCAAACCCTTCCAAAAGGCCATTCTCTCTGCTAATCACTACCCATCCAAGTGCCCAGGAAAGGAGATTCAGGAGACCTGGCTTAAACCAGGGCTTCTTAAACTTTTTCCGCTTGCAACCCCCTTTCGCATTTTGGCAAAGTTCATTGTTGTTGCATGGCCTGAGGGCATGAGCTGTGCAGTGTGTTCAGGACCCAGGCTGCAGGGAAGTTGCACGATACAACACCGGCAAGCACTGCCAGAAACACCTCGGATTCATTACGCACTGGATTTTTAATTCATTTTTGGTCATTGCGCATTCAGAAACCTTCTACTGTTGCCAAACTTTTTGGGACTCCATATGGGTTCATGACCCACAGTTTAAGAAGCGCTGACTTAAACAGCAGTGGAAGGACTTTGGGGTGTGAGGGCAAAAGATGGGAAAGGCAGAGGGGGAGGAAGACGTGTCCTCCTGCCTTATTTCTTCTTCTCTGACAACAGGGCCAGACCATGGGTTCCACTTCCTCTCCTTTGACAGTCCCAATTATAGCTAGTATTTATATAATGATTTGAGGTTTGCAAATATTACCTCATTTTATCTTCACAATAACCCTGGTGCAGCAGGTGCTACTAATATTCCTGTTTTACAGATGAGGAAACCAAGGCAGAAAGAGATTAAGTGACTTATCCCAGGATCACACAGTTAAAAAGTGTCTGAAGTGAAATTTGAATTTAGCTCTTCCTGACTCCTGGTCCAGCTCTCTATCCACCGCACCGCCTAGCTGCCCATCCATACCTATATATCCTTAGGTCATTGCCTTTATGGAAGAGAGAGTAGAGTGTTCTCCCCTTACAAGAAAGGAAGAAATGGTACTTTCTCTGGCAGTCAGGGGGCCCTACACGCCTGATGGATACGGAGGCCTGAAGTCTTACCGCTTTCCCAGTTAAGATACTTAAGGGGAGAGTTGTCAGACCACTGCCAGCCGCCATTGGTGTCTAGGTCATTGAGTCCAATCCAGAGGGTAGAGCTATAGCCAGTGAGCAGCCCTGAGCACAAGACAAAAGAAAGGAGAAGGAAGTGAGAAGAGGAAAAAAAAGGGGTAGGGGAAAAAAAGTGGGAATTAATGTCAACAAAAGTTCCTACTATGTACAAGTCCCAAATGCAAAGGCTATACAGAAACAGGGAAAAGATTTATCCTTCTGGGAAGGAAACAGCCAAAAAAAAAAATCCAAGTTCACAAATGGAAGAAAACTCCAAAAGGAATCCCAACCACATTACCACCATTATCATCAGCAGCATCATGTATGTTATTATTATTATTATTATTATTATTTCTGGTCATTTTGGGTTGGTCCAGGCCTATGATGTCACTGATGTGGGCAATTCCTCCTACCAATACCCATGGGCATCGTTCCGGGTCAGTTCTTCAATTTAGACTCTTAGAGAATTGTTGGGGGAGAAATGAGGGGTCAAGTGACTTACCCAGGGTTACACAGTCAACCCTATCCACTATGTCAAGCATCCTTTCCATACTGTTGCTATTGTTACCTAGACCGTCACATTACTGCTGAAGCTTGCCAACATATTGGCACGTTTCTTTTGGCAAACTGCAAAACAGCTTAGAATCTGAGGCTTTATTTTTCTGATTGTCTTCTTTCTTCTGCTTATTTCCTTGTTTCTTTTTATGTGGATTGTCAGTAAAGTGGGTGAAGCTGCATGCCAGCATGCTGGTCTTAGAATCAGGAAAGCCTGGGATCCAGTCTCACCTCTGACACTTACCAGACTTTGGGTGCCTCAGTCAACCTCTCAGCCTCAAACAATTCCCTACAACTTCTCTACTAAGCTAAAATACATTCCTCACAGATCAAATGAGATAATGTAGGTAAAGCACTTTGCCAACCTGAAAACACTATATAAATGCTGGTTACCATAATTATTAGAGAGGCATAGAGCAATGGATAGAGAGCTGACCTTGCAGCCAAGAAGACCTGGGTTCAAGTCCTGTCTCTGACATAGCTGTGGGATACTGGGTGAGTTAACCTCTTCCAGTGTTCTAGGCAGCCCTCTAAAAATATATAAGCTGAAGAGAAGGTCCCAACCTACACCAGAAGGCAGAAATTCCCTATACTTATTGTTGTTCTTCAGTCATGTCTGATTCTTCGTGACCCCATTTGGGTTTTTCTTGGCAAAGATACTGGAATGGTTTGCCATTCTTTCTCCAGCTCATTTTACAGATGAAGAAACTGAGGCAAACAGGATTAAATGACTTGCCCAGGGTCACACAGCTAGTAAGTGTCAGAGGACAGATTTGAACTCAGGTCTTTCTAACTCCAGGTCTGGTGCTCTATCCACTGCACCACCCAGATGTCTCATACTATACTGGTAGTTTTCAAATTTTTTAGTCTCAAAATCCCTTTATACTTTTAAAAAAATTTTTGAGGATCACTTTATACTCTTAAATTTATTGAAGACCCCAAATATCCTTTGTTTATGCAGGTTATATCGACTGATTTTTACCATATTAGAAGTTAGAGCAACTTAATATTATTATGAAAATGGCATTGGCCTCACAGACCCTCTGAAAGTATCTTTGAGGACCTCCAGCAATCCCCAGACAATACCGTGAGAACCACTGCCCTATGCCAATGAAATCACAGGTATAGTTCCCCTTTTATGATTATTATAGACAGGTTACAATCTACAATTGGTAGAGGGAGTTAACACACCATTGAAATCACAGCCCACTGATGCATGAAGTGTGTAATTAAAAATATATATTTAAAATAAATAGATGACAGTAGCCCTGGTTCTGAGGACCTCACCCTTCTCTCCTGTACCAAACTGCCCTCAACAGCCCAGGGGTTCTTTTTTCCTCCTACACATACACAAAACAAAGGAGAGCGTTCTCTGGTATCAGGAGTGTGCTACAGTCATCCAAATTTTCTGCATGAGCCTTTACACCCCAGAAATATGCAAATGCTACAAATCAGGCCTTGATTTAGGGTTTATTTGATTAATAATTGACTTAAGGTGATGGAGAAAATGTTAATAATGAAGATTAAACTTAAAAGTATATAGAGGGTATTTTTTCGGCAAGGAGAGCTGGTAGTTAAACGTTTACCAGCATACCCTTGTCTGGAACCCTCCAAAGACCCCAAATGCACTTCTCCCCACTACACCTTAGTTCTTGCCCATCCAAAATCCTCCTGGATATTGCTGTTCACTGTTGAACCCCGTGTGCAGGGCTAGGTTGTTTGCAGGAAAGGGGAGGACCTATGAAGAGCTGGGTTCACTAGAGTGGAAACAGCAGGCTTGCCCCTCCGGGCCTCACTCACCATTGATGTATGTTTGCTCATGGATCTCAGTGATGCTGAGCAGGTCGGCTCCCTGCTGCTCACAACTGGCCCAGGCCTCCCTCCAGGACAGCGTGGACTGGAAGTTAAACTGGTAGCAGCTGTTTGTTAGTTGGTCCCTATCCCAAAAAGTCTCACAGTCGTTACCTGGAATAGCAGTAGGGAGGGAGGGAGTGGAGAGAGCTCTGAGTAGACACAGCCTAGTGATCAATCCCACAAATGACCACGCTATGAGTACCCCTGGAGCTATATACTAACCCTCAACCTCCTATTTCAGAAGTTCTGAACATTTTTTTCAAGTTGATAAACATTGATGACCATATGTCACTCAATACAATACTTTGTAAGCCTATGTATTTTATTTACACATTTAAAAATATTACTCTGAAAAGGGTCCATAGGCTTTGTAGTTTGTCCTTTGTTCTCGAAGAAGACCAAGACATCAGGAAGATGATGCCCTGACTTGCAATTAAATTGGATATAAGTGAGGCAGGGCTGTGCAAAGTCACCAGCCTCACTTTCTCCTCCAGAGCCACCTGGGTCCAGTGGCAACATATAGAACAGAACTGGAGATGGCCCAGGACGCAGTGGGAGGTCTTGGCCTTTTTAAGCTAAGGTCTTCTGAGTTCTCACTTTGAGTGAGTTCATGGCATCATATTACCAATGTCATGGTCCTCTTCAAGGCCACAAGCTTTACTAGACTGTCAAAGGGGTCCATGATGTAAAAAAAAAAAAAAAAAAAAAATTAAGAATCCTGTCGTATTCCATCTCCAAAGTCAAGAGTCACTGCCCAGATACATGGTGGGGATGGAAACTAACAAGATAGAGTCACATCTAATACAGGGCCCTAAAATTCCACCAGGGCAAATCTTTCTCCATTACTGGTTTCTTGGATCCTCAAACTTTTTGCTGCACCCCACCCTGCAACACACTCCCAGATCCCTTCCAACCTTTCCAGTCCTCATTTGCAAGTTTATCAATCACTCCCCTCAGTCCTTTTCCTACCCCCTATCTCCCTTCCCCACTTCCTGGTGCCTTACCCTGGGGATAGGGATGGGGATGGCAGAGGCAACACTCACTCTTAATGGGGCAGAAGCCCCATCGCTCATCCTTGCCGTAATCCTGGGTGGTGGCGCACCAGAGGTGCCCATCTTCTCTGCCAGTACTGGTGCACCCATGGAACCACTGATTGTCGTATTTGAAGGGGATGGTGCAGGGCTTCCCATGGGAGTTTCCTTGTATTGTGTAGATCTCTGTAGGGGAAGGGGGAAGGGGGAAGGAGGGGAGGAGCCAGAGCTCTCATTATTAGGGCACCAAAATCATTTCCTAGGCTCCCTACACTACAGTCAAATGGAGTGGGGGCGTCAGTGACCAACCCATTGCCCCCAGCTCTCTACCACATCACAAGTAGGAACTCTGGATAGCAAAGGGATGGTGGGAAAGAAGTGTGGGGGAGAGAGAAGAAAGATCTGCTTCTCCCAGTCTTTTCTCCCCTCCTTCCACATCCTTGGAGCTCTAGCAGAGTCAGGGAAGAAAACAGGATCTGACCTTGTTTTCCCCAAAGAGCTTCCAGATTTAGCCTCCTGTACCTCTCCTACTTGTGGCTATGAAAAACTAGAGGTCTCTGAATTCCTAAGGCCTAACCCACCCTCCTCCTTCCTGTTCATTCCATGGATCTAGCCTGGGAACCTTCAGAGACAAAGAATTCTCACCACCCAGTTCCCTCTAGGACCAACGCAGCTCCTACCTGGCTAGTGCATGTAGCGGCTCCCTTCCTACCTATATAGACATAGATGGCCAGGTGTGGATATGTGGAGGGGGTCAAGATGAGAGACAGTGAAAGGTAATTCCTTTCTAGCCCTGCTGTCCAGGGGGCCCATTTTCTCTTCCGCACTCTTTCCCCAACTTTGCCAGCCAGGGACCTATTTCAGAACCCAGGTGGTCTTTCAAGAATGGAATGAGGAGGAGGATTGCCTAGTGGGGAGAGTTCCAGGGCTCAGGAGACCCCGATTCAGCTCTGCCACTAACTCAGTGTGTTACCTAACAATCCTGGACCTCCATTTATTCATCTGTAAAGTGGAGACAAAACTTGCTTCATTTAACTTCATAGGAAAGAATAAAATGAAATGGATATAAAAACATTTTGGGAAAACAGCATAATATAGCAGAAAGAATGCTCCAATTGGGATTAGTTCCCAACTCAAGATACCATCTGTGTGACCTGGAGCTAATTGCTTAACCTCTCTAAGCCTTGATTCCCTCAACTGAAAAATGGGTATAACAATAGTACCTATGGTGGCAGCACAGCAGATAGGGCACCAGACCTGGAGTCAGGAAGACCTGAGTTCAAATCTGTTCTCTGACACTTACTAGCTGTGTGAGCCTGGGCAAGTCATTTAATCCTGTTTGCCTCAGTTTCCTCATCTGTAAAATGAGCTGGAGAAGGAAATGGCAAACCACTGCAGTACCTTTACCAAGAAAACCCCAATTAGGGTCAGACACGATTGAAACGATTTAACAACACAGAATTGTTGACAGGATCAAATGAGATAATGTAAAAACAGCTTTGTCAGCCTTAGAGTGCTATATAAATGTGAACTACTATTACTCGGGAAATAGTTGTAAAGTACTATGGAGGGAAAATTTTGTTAGAAGAATGAAACGGTAGGGGACAGAAGGGACTCTCCCCAGAGCCCATAGCAGCAAGAGTAGAATCCTCATTCAAAGAGCTCCCTTTTGGCCAGCTCCTGCCCTGGGACCTACTCTCACATCTCCCTACACTCTCTTTGGGAAATGCTATCCTTCCCTGGCCCCCTCACCGTAGTAGGGTACAGAGCACAGATCCTCATCAGTCCCGTAGATTCGCCATTGGTTGCCCCTTGTCTGGTCTCCTCGATCAGAGAGGACAGTCTTTGAGGTGTTCCCTGTCTGGCCCCCCAGATACAGAGGCAGCTGGTCCCCCAGTGTCTGGCAGTACCAGCGCAGGCTCAAGGCCTCTCGGTCACACTCGTAGGTGCCCAGCGATGGGGCTGTGGTTGCATTGGCACCAGGCCAGGCTGTGCCCAGGCCCAGACACTGCATGGCACCCAGGTTGAAGAGCCGGTTACGGGAGACCCACTTCCACTGCTGGGCAGGTAGGCTGGTATTGCAGACTGGTGTGACTTTAACCTGTCCCTCTTGGGCCTCCAGACAGCCTTGTAGCCCATGAGTGAAGATCAGGAAGACATTGGGCTCTGGAAAAGAAGGCAGGTAATAAGACATTAAAAATGTCTCTTCTGTTCATTGCTCCCCCGACATCATTCTGTGACTTTAGTCTATAAAATAACCTCTTAGGTGACCCCAGCCTCCTCCTCCCTCCCTCTCTCTCTCCCCCCTCTCTCTCACTCTCTCTCATTCTTTGTCTCTGTCTCTCTCTCATTCTTTGTCTCTCTCCATCTCTGTCTCTCTGTCTCTCATTCTTTGTCTCTGTCTCTCTACCTCTGTCTCTCATTCTTTGTCTCTGTCTCTCTCCGTCTCATTCTTTGTCTCTGTCTCTGTCTCTCTCATTCTTTGTCTCTGTCTGTCTCTGTCTCATTCTTTGTCTCTGTCTCTTTCTGTCTGTCTGTCTCTGTCTCTCTCTCATTCTTTGTCTCTGTCTGTCTGTCTCTGTCTTTCTCTGTCTCTGTCTCTGTCTCTCTCTCATTCTTTGTCTCTGTCTGTGTCTGTCTTTGTCTGTCTCTGTCTCTCTCATTCTTTATCTCTGTCTCTCTCTGTCTCTCTGTCTCATTCTTTGTCTCTGTCTCTTTCTGTCTGTCTGTCTCTCTCATTCTCTGTCTCTCTGTCTCATTCTTTGTCTCTGTCTTTGTCTGTCTGTCTCTCATTCTTTGTCTCTGTCTCTGTCTGTCTGTCTCTGTCTTTGTCTCTGTCTCTCTCATTCTTTGTCTCTATCTCTCTCTGTCTCTGTCTCTCATTCTTTGTCTCTGTGTGTCTTTGTCTGTCTCTGTCTCTCTCTCATTCTTTGTCTCTGTCTCTCTCTCCCTCCCCCTTCTCTACTCCACCTTACACATTGTCAACAGACATATTCAAAAGTTTTCATCAGGACACACTCCCCAGCTCCAAATCTCAGGATGTTATCATGGAAAGACAGTTAGATTGAGAATAAGAAGGCCTCAGTTAAAATAGTGGTTGTGCCAAATATAAGACAGCATGACTCTGGGAAAGTCATTTATCCTCCTTCTCTGTAAGATAAGAGGGTTTGAACAAGCTGTTGCCTCTCCATATAAAGGAACATTATTGCCCTGTAAGAAATGAACATGAAGGGGCAGCAAGGGGGCACAGTGGATAGATCACCAGCCCTGGAGTCAGGAGGACCTGAGTTCAAATGTGACCTCAGACACATAACACTTACTAGCTGTGTGACCCTGGGCAAGTCACTTAACTCCATTGCCTAGTCTAAAAAAAAAAAAAGAAAGAAAGAAAGAAAAAAGAAAAGAAAGAAAGAAATGAACATGAATTCAGCAAAGCATGAGAAAACTTGTATGAAGCAACACTGAAAGAAGAAAACAATATACACAATGACTTCAATGAAATAAATGAAAACAACTAAATAGGCAGCTGGACTCAGATCAATCGCAATGAACAATCTTGGTCCTAGAGAACAGAGGACAAAACACCTATTCCCAATGAGGTGGAGAATATCGCTTATAAAATCAAACATGGTTACTTTGTCAGTTTTGCTTAAATATTTTTGTTTCTTTTTTTTTTAGTGGAGTGATATTTAGGAAGGTAATTGATGAACTGATTAGTTCAAGAATTTGACCAGTTTAAAAAAGTTATATTTTTTTAAACGAACTGGGGAGGTGGGGAGGGAGGGGGCATGGTTTATACTGAATGACCTCTAGGCCTCTTTCAGCTCTGGTATTCTGTGACGTGTGATCACCCCTCCTGTGAGACTTTGGCACCAGGAGGGAAGTCGGGGTGTTGATAACTACAGCTCTAGCATCCTTTTCTTCAGTCCCCAAACAGTACTCATTGGATAGGCCTGAGCAGACTGCTTAAGGGAGGGACCTCAGTAGCCAGATCTTGTCCTGGCTGTGCTTTGCCCTCTCAATCTATTCTTTTCTCTCATTCCTTCTCTTGTCTCATCCCACAAACCACAACTGAACTCACCAGGCTGACCAAGGCCTCCTCCAGGGATTTAATGTTTTGAAGTCGAAAGTTCCTTCAAGGTCAGTGATGGGTTAATGGAAAATGTCCCTCTGCAGGGGGTAGGGAAAGGGCCTGAGACCAGAGAAAGGGAAAAATAACAGCTGGTTCTAAAGAGCCTTCCCAGAGATAAAGCTGGACATTTTAGACCCGGGCTCCAAGGAGGCCAGCATCTAAACCACTTCCTCCCTCCGCCCAAAAGGATATATGACTCCAATCTGAGTGCCCCATGTGATAAAATATAAATGTGGGGTTTTGAGTATGGCAGTGTTCGACTGAAAAAACAATTGACTTCTGGTTAAGATAGCAACACGAAAGGTCACAGAAAAGCCCCACTGCCCTCAACTCCAGAAAATATCTGAAAAGGATTTTTAAAAGCATGTAAAATGAGTTCATTAGAAGAGTATATAAATAATAAGGGTAAAATGAGAGGAGAAGGCATATAGTGACCCTCACTCTTATCTGAACCAGAGAAAGGAAAGTTGTACACACACATACACACACACACACACACACACACACACACGCGCGCGCGCGCGCGCGCATACACACATACAATCAAGTAAATTCTCTTTCTCCCTCTTCTTCTTCTTCTTCTTCTAAGAGGAGGGTCAAGAGCAAATGCAGAAAAGATACAAGATAAATCTTATATAAATAAATATATGATATATGGTAAAGGAAAATGGCAATTTACAATTGTAATGATGATGCTAAATGAGATAAATTTATCCACAAAATAGATGGTAGTAGCAAATGGAGTAGAAAATAGAACCCAACAATATGCTGTTTACAAGAAACACATTTGAAATATAAAGATTCACACAGAGTTAAACTGAGGGCTTAGAGCAAAATTTATGCACTAGGTGATTTTTAAAAAACAAGAGATAAGAATCATTATTTTAAACAAGGTAAAAATAAAGATATGGTTAAAAGAGATAACTGTGTTATGCTAAAAGGTATCATAAATAATTAAATTATATAAATATTTAATGTAAATGCAATAAATAGCATAGCATCTAAGTAGTTGAAATTAAAAAAAAAATTTAAGGAGAAATAAACAGCAAAACCATAGTAGTTAGGGAACTTAATGTTTCCCTTTCGGACAAAGACAAATCTAAAAAGAATATATAAATTAGAAAAATGTTAAGGGACTGTATAGAATTATTTAAAAGTGAGTATGGATTACAGGTGATTACTGAATAAGAACAGAAAGACATATACATATTTCTCAGGTGTGCATGACATTTTTACAAAAATTGATCATGTGCCAAGGCAAAACCCCCTCATAAACAGTATAAAGAGAAACTATTAAACCCATCCTTTACTGACTACAATGCAAAAAAGAAAAGTATCTCAGTAAAGAACATTTGAAAAAAGGTTTCAAACTTAAATGGAGATGAAATAATTTAATCCTAAAAAATTGGTGAATCAAAAAATAAATAATACAAAAATAGCTAATTTACTCAAGGAAAACAACAATATGAAAATATATCAAAACTTTTGTATTGGGCAGCTAGGTGGTGCAGTGGATAGAGCTCCGGCTTTGAAGTTAGGAGGACCTGAGTTCAAATGTGATCTCAGACACATAACACACACAACACATCCTAGTGGTGTGACCCTGGGCGAGTCACTTGACCCCAATTGCCTACAAAAAAAACAAACAAAAAAAAACTTTTGTATTTCAGCCAGAGTAGTCCTTACAGGAAATTCTATATCTATAAATACTTTCATCAACAGAAGAGAGAAAAAAATGAATCAATGAATTGGTCATTAATTAAGATAATTAGAAAAGCAACAAATCAAAAAACCCAAATGCAAAAATTCTTTGAAATCAAGGAATAGATAGATAAACAAAATTTGAAACAAAAAAGCATTGAATTTATACATAAAACCGGGAACTGTTTTTTTTTTTGAAGAAAAAAACTAATAAAATAGATAAACCATTAGCTAATCTAATTTTTAGAAAAGGAGGCAAGGCCAAAATGCCAATATCAAACATGACCAAAAAACAAAAACAAAAGAAAATACAATCTCACAATAGTTGTAGCCTCTTTGCTAATACTTTTTTTGGATATTTTTGCAGTGATTATCAGCTTTCTTGTATATTACCAACAAAGCCCTTTAGGAAGAGATCAAGAAATAAATTCCATTTATTCCATTATAGAATGCATGAAATATCTGGGAGTCCAGCTAGCAAATCATACTCAGGAATTATACAAGCTATTCAACTACAAAACACTCATTATAGAAATACAGATTTAAATAATTACCAATTTAATTGCTCGTGGTTGGGCTAGCTGATATAATAAAAATGAAAACACTATCTAAATTAACATATATTCAGTTTCATACCAATCAAACTACCAGGGGGTTCCTTTGTTGAACCAGAAAAAATAATAACAAAATTAAACTTGAAACAAAAGTTCAAAAATCTCAAGGAAAATAATGAAAAAAATGGAAAAGGGGACCTAGCAGTCCAAGATTTCAAACTATACTAAAAAGCAGTAATCCTAAACCTTTGGTACTGGTTGAAAAAATAGAAATGTTGATCGGTGAAACACATTAGGGACACTAGAACCAGAAGCAATTGAATAGAATAGCATAATATTAAATAAATCCAAGATCTCTAACCACTCCACAAAAACAGCTGGGAAATTTGGAAAGCAGTCTAGGAGAAATTAGGTTTAGTCCAACATCTCACACCATATGGTACAATAAACTCCAAAAAAGATACCTGACCTAGATATATCTGTAATGCCTGTTTCATAGGCAACAAACTTGCTTCATCCTAAATCTTTTCCTCTCCCACTCCTTCCATCATTTAGTAATCACTGAAACCTGGCTTCTTCCTGGTGACAGACTCCCTGACCACTCTTTCCAGTACCTGCTGCACCTTTCACTCATTCCGCTGGGCTCACTGGTTGAGGAAAGGGAGTTGGAATACTCTTTGCTCCCCGCTGCCACTTCCAGGATCCCCACCCTGACCTCTATCACTCTGTAATTTCTCCTCCTTTTACATTTATGAAATTCACATCTGTTATTGTTGTTG